TTGACAAGGTTGCCCCCTAGTGTCCTCTTCTGCACATGACCCTGCCGAAAGCTGTCCCAGACATTTATTTACCTAGGCATTTGAGAGTTATTGCAGGCAAAGCCACTCGGCGCACTAAGGAAGAGATAAAAAAAAAAAGAAGAAGCACAGTGCCTGCTCTCAATCATAAAATTATGGGGTCAGAGCTATTTGGTCTATAATTCCAATTTCTTCATTTGACAGATGAGGAAACTGCCTCAGAGAAGGGAAATGAGGTCACGCAGGTAGTAGCAGAAACAAGATTTGAACCCAAGTCCTCTGACCCCAAATTAGTGTTATTCTACCACATCAGGCTCAAAAGAGGAAAAGCCCACAATTGGGAAATCACAGGCCCTTGAAAAAGGTATTATTGTCACCATTTTGCAAATGAGGAAACTGAGTCAGACAGCAGTTAAGTGACTTGTCCAGGGTCATATAGCAAGTAAGGGTCTGAAGCCAGATTTGAACTCAGGTCTTCCTGACTCCAGGTCCAGCACTCTAATTATAGCTGTCTGCCCCCTAAATATCTCAGGTCTGGGGGAATGATTTATTTTTAGGTTCAATTGCTTTCCTATTTGCTATGTCTTAAAAGGGAAGGGGTAGTTCCAAGCCTACACCTTCAGACTTGACTCCTTCCCACCAAATGCTAGCTGCACAAAATAGCATCACAAATAACCAAGAGTGAGTAATTCCATCTATCCGAAGGAGAAACTTAACCAAGGAAGATGCCTGACTTCACCCAAGGGGAAATTTCCCCAAGTTTCTGAGGGGGCAAACTGGAAAGCAAGGACACGGGAAGGTGCCAGCTCTCCCACGTCTCTCTCTTCCCACTGTCTTCTCTCTCTCTTTCTTTGTGTATCTGCATCTGTCTGTCTCCCTCTGTCTCTGTGTGTGTCTCTATATATGGATGTGTGTATATATATATATTTCTCTCTCTGCACCCCCTCCACACACACATGCGCGCGCGCACGCGCACACACACACACACACACACACACACACACACATCTCTCCCCAAAGAAAGCATGAAACCATTTGTGTTTCAAGGAAGGGACGAAGAACGTCTTTCTGCTCCCAAGCTCTCCACCAACTCCACTCCCCACATAGGCAGACATTCTCTCCATCAAAAGAAGAATATAACCCCGATTGCCTCACTAAAAAAAAAAAAAGAATATTTTGGAAACACATTAGACTTAAAACCCACATTATGTCTCATCCTTCTGCATCTATTGATGTCTCTCTCTTCCTTCAAGGCCCAAGTCATATGTCACCTCCTCTGTGAAGCCTTCCCTGAGGGCTCCACCCTGACATGGGAAGTCCTCAAGCATCTTCCAGCTCTCTCCTTCGCCCATTTCACAATCATCTTCTCATATGAGGCTTAGTTATCTGTCACCTGCCTTTCTCCTCTTAGACTGTAAGTTCTTTGAGATCCGGGTTTTATGTCTAGTTACCTTCTGTGCCCCAAACCTCTAGAGAAGGCCCGGCCTTAATGGGTACTTAACAGATGTATGTCAAATTGAGTTACCAATATAATATTATCTCAGGTGATCCTTTCAAAACTTGTGAAATGGGCATATTAGGAGTGCTAGTTAAGGTGGGACATACAGGACTTTGAACCAGGTCATTGACATTTGGGAGGGCTACCATTGCCAGATTGTGTTCCTTCAACAGGTAAAACAAAAGCAAAAACTGAGCTTAGCACCTAGCGAGCAAAAATAATTGTTAAAACAGGAAGCTACCAGATGGTAATGATGCTTTTGAGATCTCTCCCCATTTTCAGGTAAGACAGGAATCTCTTCTCAAATGCTGTTGCAAGTGTGTGTTGGGGCGATCCCCTCTCTGGCCCTGAGATGTTGAGCCCCCCCTTCCTCCTCTCAGATTGTACAAGATCTGTGTACTCAGAAGATAAACAGACTTTGCCTGGAGAGACTGCCCGGTGGGCCGTGAGTCTGCCAGCTTGGAGACTGGTTTACATAATCTGTGGGGCTCTCCTCCAGCTTCATAAATCTTGCACCCTCCCCCAAGACATTGCCACCAACACGCTGAGGGTGTTTAGACAAAGTGGCAGCAGCTCAGTGTTTATTTGGTACAAGGGGTTGGAGTGGGAGTTATAGGAAGGCTGTGTGCCTTCCTGAGCCAGACTGAAAGACCCAGCCATCGGTGCTCAGTCGAGAAAGACGACTAAATCTTCCTCCTTGCCATAGGTGAGACCGTGGTGAAGTCAGTTTACCACTCTGGCCTCAATTTCCTCATCTGCAAAATGGGAGAGTGTAAGAAGAAGCTAGATGGCACAGTGGATACAGCACAGGCCCTAAAGTCAGGAGGACCTGAGTTCAAATCCAGCCTCAGACCAAACACTTGACACTTATTAGCTATGTGACCCTGGGCAAGTCACTTAAACCCAATTGCCAAAAAAGAAAAAAAAAAAGTAAAAATATCTCTTAGGGGCAGCTAGGTGGCACAGTGGATAGAGCACCGACCCTAAAGTCAGGAGGACCTGAGTTCAAATCTGGCCTCAGACCAAACATTTGACATGTACTAGCTGTGTGATCCTGGGCAAGTCACTTAACCCCAATTGCCTTAAAAAAAAAAAGAAAGAAAAGAAAAGAAATGGGAGAGTGGGCTAGACGAGCTCTCTCCCAGTTATGGTTAGATTTAGGGTTTAATTGAAAGAGTACTAAAAAGGTTATCCGAAAGAAGGCACCCCTCCCCCAAAGGCCATGGCCCCCAAATCCCACTGTGCTTTTAAGATAAGGCTTTGCTGTAGAAGGTCAGTTCCCACAGATGCGAATCCCATCCAAGCCCTTGTCGACCCCTGTAGTGGAAGAATGCTCGCTTTGGAGCCAGGGAACCTGAGTTTGAATCCTACCCCTACCATTGTGTCAAATCACTTAAGCCTACTGAGCCTCGGTTTCCCAGCCTGTGTTGCACCTGGGGCGTACTTTCCCATGAATGTCCTCACCACCCGTTGGAAGAATGGATGTGCACAGGAATCGCGTGGGAAGGGAATGTGTGTGACCAAGGAACATATGAGCAGGGGTACACACACTGGGGGTACGTCAACAGGGCCCACACAAGGAGGGGCAACTCATACTTCCCATGCTACAGGGCTGCTAACGTCTTCCGATACTGACGACACTAGCTAGCAGTTACGTGGCAATTTTAGGTTTTGCAAAGCGCTACACATATATCACTGCAGTAGGTGCTATTATTATACCCACTTTACAGATGGGCAAATAAGCACAAAAAGCTGGAATTTGTCCAGGGTCGCCCAGTTTTTGAGTCTCTGTGGTGGGAACTCGTCTTCTTAACTCCAATTCCAGCACTCTTTCCACCACACCATTCTAGGACTGCTGCTTTCTGTCTCTGTCAATCCCACTGTTAATATCATGGTTACTCCCCTGTGTTGGTCCCTTCTCAGCTTTATCTCTTCAGCGCCACCTGCTGACAATGTCAGTTTCAGTTTGCTTGGGTACAGAAACTAGAAAGCAGGTCTTTGTTAAGAGTAGGCTGACAGTTATTTAGTCATAGCCAGAGGTTTTGAGCCATAGTACCCAGCTAACAAAAGCCAGGCACAGTACACCCAAGCTAAGATTATGTCTTTGCTTTTAACTCCTGTGTTGGAGTTTGACATAAAGGCCTTTCTCCCAGACCACTCTATGATTTAGAATTAGAAACTTCCATAGATCCTCTATGGAAATCTGTATTTCAGCATTGGTCCTCCAGAGTCAGGACTGGTCATGACTTTGGTTCAAAGTTCTAATATCTTTCAGTGTTAGAATTCTCTTCCCAAGGTTAGGATGGAGGAGAAAGTGACTTGTGACCTTGGTCTTCAGTTTGTTCCTCTTTAAAATGAGGGGTCTGGGGTAGATCACAAGATTTAATACCTAGAGACTATCTAAGCCAAACCTCATTTCACAGATGAGGAAACTAAGGCCCCAAGAAAGATTAAGTGATTTACTTACCCAAGGTCACACAGCTAATTAGTATCAGGATTCATATTACAGTTCCGTCTGATTTAATTCTCAAGTGGCAACTTTTCCATCCCTTTCTGAAAGAGAACGGGAACAAAGATGCCCTAAGATAATGCTCCTTTCCCATTCTTTAGAAGGCCCTTGTTTCTCATTGGGACAACTGCTCTTCTAAATTATTCCATACCCCTCTGCTGAGCTAAGTTAGCTTGAAGATTTCCCACAGTGACAAAAGTAAGTGAGCAATCCCACCAGGGAAAAGAAGAGAGCTGGAGTCCAATTTGGGAGACATCCCACCTCCCTCCTTCCTTCAAAGGCAGTTGTTTCGAAGGGAGGTTGACCAGCCTAGCAGTGGGCCGAGCCTGGCAGTTTAAAAGGAAGCAGAGACAGCTGATAGCCCAGACACAGTCCCTACCCCTGCCCGGATGAGGGGAAGAACCAGCCAGCCCTGCGAGCCGGCCTGGGGATCAGAGTGGGGGTCGGTTCAGGTTACATCTGATAACTTCTGCCAGATTTCCCATCCTAAGCAGACTAGGAGTTGGAATTCCACAGGAGCTGAGGAAAATCTTCCATCCGCGTCCTTAAACAATCACCGTCAGGAGCTGAAGGAACTAACAGGAATAGAAGATAGAATCCCTGGGTAAGTCCCTTAACTTCTCTGGAGCTCAGTTTCCTCATCTGTAAAATAAGAGGGTTAGGCTAGCTGGCCTGGGGGGCCCCTTTAGCCCTAGCTTGTATCTTATAATGTGGGTTTAGTCTGGATTCTGGTAATTACCACCCAGGTGACTTGGGCGAGTTAATCCCTCACCTTCTATGGGTTTCCTCTGGAAAAATGAGGGTTTGGACAGGATGACTTCTGAGGTCATGGCCCTGCTTTCTGAGACCCACCTTCTTACAGTAGTGTGCCCATCAAAGACGTTTTCATTCCATAGCAAATCCATAAAACAGAATCTGGGGAAAACTGAGAGATTTCACATCCTTTCATCCTTCAGCCCCATCCCCCTGGAAGTCATGGTTGCATGCATCCTCTCAACTGATGGAAACAGTTCCTCTGATTTCAAGAGTAACACCACAGCCAGCACCGCATTTTCACTGTCCAGCTGGCAGCTAGCCCTCTGGGCTGTGGCTTACCTCTTCCTGATACTGGTGGCCCTCACAGGCAACATTACCGTCATCTGGATCATCCTGGCGCACAAGAGGATGCAGACAGTGACTAACTATTTCATCGTTAACCTGGCCCTGGCTGACACCTGCATGGCCACCTTCAATGTCACCTTCAACTTTGTCTATGCCAGCCACAATATCTGGTACTTTGGCCAAGCCTTCTGCCACTCCCAGAATTTCTTCCCTGTCACGGCGATGTTTGTGAGCATTTATTCCATGATGGTCATTGCTGTGGACAGGCAAGTGATAGGGAACCGATGGGTGGGTGGGTGGTGCAAGGAATAAAGGATATGAGGGATAAGAAGCCCCTAGCAGTGGATTGTGTTAGCCCAACATAATGATTAATAGAGCCATCACCAGGGTTGGGTGATACGGGCTTTGTCCCAGGGTGAGGTATTTAGAAGGTGCTTTCACCCCTGCCCAGCCTGCCACTGAAACAACACTTTTGTTTCATGGAAACCATCCTCCCTTCAGCCACTGAAGAATCTTATCATTTCCTAGGTGGTTCTTCTACCTCCACACTCCCTTCTTTACCCCTCTACTGCTGCCACTAGCTGTGATTCTGACAATAAGTAGGCAGTTAAGTGGTGCAGTGGACAGTGCTGGACTTGAAGACAGGAGGACATGAGTTCAAATCCTGATTTGGACATTTCCTGGTTGTGTGGCCCTGGGTAAATTATCTCTTGACTTCTCCCAGCCTCAGTTTCCTCATCTGTAAAATGGGGATAATAACAGCACCTACCTCACACAGTTGGTGTGAGGATCGAATGCAAAACACGTGCAGAATGCTTGACAAACCTCCAAGTCCTGTGTAGCTATTATTAATGATGCTGCTACGGTCCTCACTAAGCAGCGATGACTCATGTCTAGGTCATGCTTTAAGATCTGAAAAGTGCTTTCCCCCGCCCCCCTTACACCACCCTGGGAGGTGGGAAGCACCAGGGTTACTTGGCTGCATGCAAATGCAAACGGATCTTGGGCCTCAGAGGGGCTCCATGCCTCTGCAGTGTCTGCCTCGGGTTTTTGTTTGGGGTGGGGTCAGGAGACAGGGGATTTAACAGGAGCTGAGAACAGGACAGTTGTTGTCTCGCCTGTTACAACGTAGGCTTCTTGAAAGAAGGGATTGTTTCATCCTTTGTACCCTCAGCCTAGCACATAGTAGGTGCTTATTAAGTGCGTGTTTATTGACTGAATGACCCTGGACCAATCATTTCACCTCTTGGTTCCTCAGTTTCCTTATTTTCCGAAGGAGAAGGTTGGATGGATGGCCTCTCAGGTCGATGATTCCATGCTCCTTCCTGACAACTGCAGAAGGGCCTGGATGGGGGCCAAACATTAGCCAGGCTTTTGCTGGTTTATAATCCTCTTCCTGAGCTGTCAGTGTCTACAGGCTTGTTGTGTGAGTCTGAGCTGCAGGGAAGCCAGGGCTGACAGAGTCAGCAGGGCTAGGCTGGAACACAGCTTGGCTTCCTGTGAGATCTTGGGCAAGTCACTTCTCTCTGTTTTGTGCCTCAGTTTCCCTATCTGTTAAAATAAGGATCTTGGACTAAATTACCTCTAAGGAATGTTTGGAACGTGTGAGCCTATGATTCTCAGCCCTTAGTGCTGATGTAGGGTCTTGTGAGAATGTGAAGGGGATTCTCTGCAAGAGCCTGGCTTGTAGAAACAGTGGAAACTCTCCTCTAAGAGCCCTAGATTTGGGGTCAAGAGGTCTTGGGTTCAAATTCTGCCCCTGTATTTACTAGGAGTATCACCTTGGGAGAGTCATTTCCCTTCCCTGGGCCCCACCATGTGGGAGATGGGACCAGATGATCCCTGTGGTTCCTTTCAGCTGTAACTCCTATGGTCCTTTGCATCTAGGCCTTGGTAGTTCTCCTCCCAAAGCCCACAGAACCTGCCTTTCAAGAGCTGCCCAAGAAGTCTGGGCCCCGCATAGTTGTGTCTGGGGGTTAAGCCGCTGAAGGGCCCTGCTGAAATGCGGCTGTTACTTGGGGCGCTAACATACTGTCCATTAGCGACCTGTTCTCAGCTTAGCCAGAAACAGTGGAATCCCTTCCTTCCTTTCATACACAGAAGAGGTCGAAAGAAATAGACTTGCTTAGGTTTGAAAAGGACTGGTAAGATGTGAAAGGGTGAGCAAAAGGAAGGAAAATAGACGTGGGGTCAGGAAACCCCGCTTCAAATCTACTGGAGCATCTACTATGTGCCAGGCACCGTGGCCGAGCCCTTTACAATTTTATCTCATTCGATCCTTAGCCCTAGGAGATGAGGGCCGTTATGATTCTCATTTTACAGCTGAGGACACTGAGGCAGACAGAGGTTCAGTGACTTGGCCAGGGTCACACAGCTAGTGAGTGTCTGAGGCCGGTCTTCTTGTGTCCAGCCTAAAGCTCTCCCTGCTGGGCTACCTAGCTGTCCATTCACTGGGTTAGTCCCTGGTTAACTAAGATCAAGGCCCTGTTTATGGGACACAGGAAACAGCCTGGAGAAGACCCAAGATAGGGAAGGGAGGCATGGTGGCCTCTGTCTGAGCCTCAGTGTCCTTTCCTGTAAGATGGACCGGGTGACCTCTAAGCTCCCCTCCCAGGTCCTTATCCCTGTGCTCAGGAAGGCAGGGCTGTGTGTAGGGGGGACGTTGTGGTGGACCCAGGGTGGTGGGGGAGAGGGGAAGTTCTCTTGAAAACCAGGGCTATAAAGAAAATGCCCACGAGTCACCCGTGGTTGTCCATGGTCCTCCTCCTTCTACAGGTACATGGCTATCATCCATCCCTTCCAACCCCGGCTGTCGACCCGCCACACCAAGGTCGTCATTGGGGCCATCTGGCTGGTGGCCTCCGGACTGGCCTTCCCTCAGTTTTTATACTCCACGGTCACTGTGGATGAGGGGGTCACCAAGTGCATCGTGGACTGGCCAGAGGACGGCGAGGACAAGGTCCTTGTGTAAGGATGGGGGGGCTTAATGGATTGGGTTGGCATCCCTAATGCCTCCAGAATTGAGTACAAATGCCTCCATTTGACCCTTAAAACCCTTCACAGCCTGGCTCCAATTTACCTTTCCAGCCTCGTTAGGCATCACTCCCAGGAGCACGCCTGATAGGAACCAGGGTGGCCCTCATGGCCATGCCTCACACACGTATGTTCGTGTCCAGGCTTGGGCCCAGGGACACCCTCTCCTCATTTCTTTCTTAGAATCCCTAGTTTCTTCCAATGCTCAGCTTCTGTGCCACCTCCTTTATGAAGCTCCCCCCATGATTCTAACATATAAATATCTTGTGTTTATTTTGCATGTGTAGTGTCTAACAATAGAATGTAAGCTCCCTGAGGACAGACTTTCATTTTTTCTATCCCCAACACCTAGCACACGCCCAGCACAGAGCAGGTACCTGATAGATGCACGTTAAACTAATTCATTGTTTGACTGGCCTTTTGATTGTGGTGACCCCTCCTGGCTCACCAGTGTGCCTGGCCCTGGACAATCGGGTTATCCAAGACACAAATCCCTTTGCCCAAACCTTTCCTGAGCCTGCTGGGAGGGCCCTGAGGACTTCTGTCCCAGGCAAGCCAGAGTCATTGCCCTCACACAACTTATAATAAAATAGGGAAGAGAAAACCAAGTAGAATTTAAAAGCCCAATTAGAGGGTATGAGGGCTGCTTGATATAGACTGGGAGTCACATGTCTCAGTAAAGTGTGAAATGGACAGTGGGTGTCTATGGGGGAATTTTTGCCTTTAAGGAGGAACTAGGAATATTTAGCCTAGAGAAAGGAGAATTTGGGGGTAGAGAACATGAGAGCTGTCTTCAGGTATCTGAGGGGCTGTCATGGGGAACAGGAGTTAGGGTTAGACAGGACAAAATCAAGAGCATGGATAGAAGTTGTAGAGAAATTGCTTCCTGCAAAGGAAAACTTGCTAAAAATGAGGGCTGAACAAAAGTCAAATTGGCTATTTCAATAGGCAGTGAGTCCCCCTTACTATGGGCATTCAACAGGGGGCTGGGTGACCACAGAGGTCACGGGCCATCCAGTCCAACCGCCTCCTTGGCGGATGGGGAAACTGAGGCCAGGGAGGTGGTGACTTGCCCAAGGTCACACAGGTAATAAGCATCAGAGGGGGGATTGGAACTGGGTCCTCTGCCTTTTTCATTTTCCCGCACTGCCATCCTCCTCTTTCAGAATGTTGCAGAGGAATTCCTGCTCAGCTATGAGTAGGACTGTGAGGTCCACTCTGAGATCAGACCATCTAAGTGCTCACTTAGTGAGCTCTGGCCACTAGGGGGCAGAGTTTCTTTACCCTACCATCACCCAGGAGAGCTGGAAGAGATGAGGGATGGGGATGCAGGGGCGGGGCACGCTGATCTGGAGACAGTGGGGAAGGGGTTACCTTGCCCAGACTCCCACCCCGTCTTAGAGGCAGCCTCGTGTTATGAAAAGGGTGCCTCCCCCAGGCCTCTATAAAACGAGAGGGATTCCTACTGGGGTGTAGGTTGGACAAGACCTCTCTCCTGTAGAGGAGGGATCCTTACATCCGGGGCCACGAGATCTGGGTTTGAATCTCACCTCTATGATCCCAAGCCTGACTCTCCTACTCAATATATAACCTTGGGCAAAGTCCCTTGCCCTCTCTGGGCCTTGGTTTCCTCGTATGTAATAGGACGGGGCTAGGGAGAAGGATGTCTGAGATCCCTCCAAGCTTAAAAACCTGTAGGGTGTCTCTTTCTGAGCCTCAGAATGTGGGGGGATGACATCTAGAACTAGGTCCACTTTCAGCCTAGTAATAACCCCTGGGAAACTATAGCCAGGTAAGCCACGTAGGTGGCCATCACAGGCATTAAAGGGAAGGGGAAACAGCAAGGACAAATCTGCCTCTTTTTGCATTTCCCAAGTTCGCGATGATTGTGCTCTCAGAAACAGCCCCCTAGAGCGAAGTGCGGTGAGGCTGGGAGGCTGCTGTGCCTGCCAGGTCAGTGCAGCAGGCCCTGGGGCAGAGACTTTTATCTCTCCCGGGCAAGTCAAGTTAACAAGCATTTATTAAGTGTTTACAATGTCAGGCAGTGTGCTAAGCACTGGGGAGGCAAAGAAAGAAAAAAGCAGCTTCAGGAATTTAAGCTGAGTCCTGAAGAAAGCCAGGGAAGCTGGGAAGGGAGGGGAGAAAGAACATTCCAGGTGTAGGGGACGCAGCCAATACAGAGGCTGGAGATGGGGTACAAGGCACAGAAAGTGGGGCAGTATAGGTGGATCATAGATTATGTGAAGAATACAGCATAAGAAGCCTGGAAAGGCCAGATCAGTGGTTGGGGAGGGTGCAGAGAGGGGACTCTCAGGGACAGGGTGGACTCCTGTCAAGCTCAAGGGTCCTTGGATTCCACTATGGCCCTTGTGACCTGAGCCCGCCTTCCTGTTCCCTCCCCAGGTACCATCTCACCGTGATCATCCTGACTTACTTCTTGCCACTGGTGGTGATACCTGTCACGTACAGCATCATGGGCGTCACCCTCTGGAGACAGGTCGTCCCCGGACACCCGCTGGTCAGGGTCCAGCAGAGGCCGAAACACATTGCAGCAAAAAAGAGGGTGAGGCCAGGCTTCCTGCAGAGCCAGGGACCCTGTGCCAAACACAGGCCGTTCTGGGCCCTGTGCTGGCTGCTTTTATCCACAGAACACGCAGGGTCCATATGGAACCCGTCCATGCCCATAACTCTTTATGGTTGACTGAGGCCAGAGAATTATAGATAAGATAGAAGGCACCTCAGAGGCCTCCGAGCCCAACCCCCTCATTTTACAGGGGAGGAAACCGAGGCCCAGTGAGGTTAAATACTTTGCCCAAGTTCTTTTCTCACAGGTAGTAGGCATCAAAAGTAGGTGTAGAAACTCTAGAGTGTGGTGGGACTTCTCCCAGTGGCCTAGAGGTAACCTTGGGTTCTCAAGGCTAGGCCAACAGAATACAGACTTTCATTAGCTCCAATGCTAAGCTGGAATATCTTAAAGTTTGGATTTTGTAAGAGCCTGCATGCCTGTCATCAGAGAGGCCCCTCACCAGCTTGGCTACAAAGACATACATTTTCCTGGCAGAGCAACTCTTTAACCAACCAAACAGTATTTATTAAGCAAGCACCTACTATGTACCAGGCAGACAGCTAGGTGACTCAGTGGATAGAGCACCAGGTAGAGTCAGGAAGACCTGAGTTCAAATCTAGCCTCAGACACTTACTAGCTGTGTGGTCTTGGGCAAATCACTTCACCCTGTTTGCCTCAGTTTCCTCATCTGTAAAATGAGCAAACCACTCCAGTATCTTTGCCAAGAAAACCCTAAATGGACATGACTGAAATGACAAACATACCACATTACACTATGTTTGGAGAATACAAAGGGAGAGAAAGAAAGAAAGAAAGAAAGAAAGAAAGAAAGAAAGAAAGAAAGAAAGAAAGAAAGAAAGAAAGAAAGAAAGAAAGAAAGAAAGAAAGAAAGAGAAAGAAGGGAGGGAGGGAGGGAAGGAAGGAAGGAAGGGAGGGAGGAAGGAAGGAAGGAAGGAAGGAAGGAAGGAAGGAAGGAAGGAAGGAAGGAAGGAAGGAAGAAAAGAGAAAGAAAATGCGTTGTGTCAGGGGAGCCACCATTTACATATATGGGGGGACAAGCATTTATTAAGCGCCTATTTTGTGCCAAGCACTTTAGAAATATTATCTCATTTTGTCCTCTCAATAATCCTAGAAGAAGTTAGTGCTTTTATTACCCCCATTTAGGGATGAAGAAACTGAAGCAGTCAGATTTTAAGGGACTTGCCCAGGGTCACACAGCTAAGAAGTGTCTGAGGCCACATTTGAACTCGGGTCTTCCTGACTCCAGGCCAAATGCTCTATCTAGTAGTTCAGGGAGGGAAGGCATCAGTGATTGGGGGTATCAGAAGAGACTTGAGCATCTCCATTCTGGGGAGGAAGGGGTGCCATGGAAGGTGTTGGCTGTGGTATAGTGGATCCAGGGCTGGGCTTCAAGTCAGGCAGACCTGGGTTTGGACCCCCCTCCTCTGACATGTACTAGCTGGGTGACCAGAAATAAATCACTTAATGTTCCTGAGCTTTACTCACCTGTAAAATGGGGAGAATTATGCCAGGAATACCTCCCTCACTTGAATGAGATTATATATGAAAAGCACTTTGCAAACCCTGTGTAAATGCCAGCTATGATAATTATTCCTGAGGGCAGGGCCAAGGAAAGGGAGGGAAGCGTCTGTGGGGGAAACAGGACTAGGTGTCTCTAGCTGCCCCAGTGTGGGAGGGTGAGCCGGGGGCATACACATCCCTGCTGACCACGTGAAAGGCGCTGAAACATATCGAAGACACCAAGATGGGCCGAGCTCAAGCCAGTCCTTGAAGACAGCCATCAAGTGCTCACTGGGGCATCTGTCTCTGGCCTTCTCCAGGACAAAGTCGTTTCAAAGATGCCCTGGAATTGTTCTATGGTTCTTTGTGGGTGAATACAGTGCCCTGTCCCTCCAAATAGACTAGAAGCTGCCTGAGGGCAGGGGCGTACATTCTCAGCCTCTTGGCTTTCCCAGAACCCTAAAGCAGAATGTGGCGGCTGGCCTAATGACCCCAGGCTCTTTGTCCCTCCTCCCAGCAGTTCGTGAAGACCATGGTGGTGGTGATGGTGACTTTTTCCATCTGCTGGCTACCCTATCACCTCTACTTCATCCTGGGCACCTTCCGTCAGGACATTTATTGCCACAAGTTTATCCAGCAGGTCTACCTGGCCCTCTTCTGGCTCGCCATGAGCTCCACCACGTACAACCCCATCATTTACTGCTGCCTCAACCAAAGGTGAGTTTCCCACAGCCCGAGCCCAGGCTCTTCAGCTCAGCCTTCCAGGCGCTCTACAACAATGATCGCGATGATAACAGTGATAATCACTCACAACTCATTAGTGCTTTGCATACATTCTCTCAGTCGACCCTCGACCCTCATAACCACTCGATGAGGTAATTACTACAAGGGCAACACGCATCATACTCATTTTACAGATGAGGGAAATTGAGGCAGAGACAGAGTGACCCAACCATGGTCACACTGGAAGTACCAACAGCCACGCCTAGATATTTCCTCACTCCAACTCCAGTATTTTTTTTTAAATAATATTTTACTTTTATTGATCTTTTTTTCCCCCTCATCACCTTTATTCCTGAATGTATCCCAGTAAGCATCTTGGGATGAAGATTTTTAAAAAGAAAGAGGGAAAAAAAATCAGTTCGTGAGCTTGACTGTATATGCAGGATTCTGTACCCATAATCCCCCAATTCTGTAAAGAAGGGAGGGAGGAGGAGAAACCGATAGTGGAATGAGCAGCGAATTTGGAGTCAGAAGGCCTGGATTCAAATCCCACCCTCTGACACTTGGTGTGTGCCACTGAGCAAACCACTTCATGTCTTCAGGACTCCATTTTCTCATTTCTAACCCAAGGATGTTGGAATAAATGTCCCCTACGGTCCCATCTCGTGCAATGCCATCTTTCCTTATCCTTCCAATTTGATGCCAGTCTTGACTTTCACTCTTGCTAATTAATGGTCTGACTGCACACAGACAAATGTCTTGGAAATGATTTTCCCCTCACAACCGTTTCCTGTCTGTTAAGATACAGTCAATTTCATTTTGGGAAGTGATGCTCAAGAGCTTACTATATCTCTGACTTCATGAAGACAGAATTCATTATATACTTGCAGGTAAGTACTATCGATTTTATTAATCCCACCCATTCTGAATAGGATATAAACTTTTGGCTTTTTTTTTTCTTAATCTACATGGTAGATAGAAATCCCCAAATGGAGAAGACCCGGGTTTGAGTCCTGCCTTGCATGAGAGCAAGTGACTCAACCTTTTAGTAGTATCCTAAGCAACGCTCTAGAAGGCACAGAGGAGGTGCCAACCTGTACCTACGGGAGCTCCCCATACTCAAAAAAATGGGAGGTTTGGTAAAAAAAAATCTAAAACTCTACTTTCTACCTTAATTTTATAGTCCCCTCCACAAGTAATAGAGCCAAGCTATGTGTTGACTTGGCTTGGATGATGTGGCCAAGTTCTTTGTAGATTAACGCGCCTTCTCTGCTACAGTTATCCAGATGGTGGTCTTTTTTGTTGACATTCACTGTGACCAACTATCCCATGAAATGATGCTTCCTGGGGCACATGGTGAAAGCACTCTAGCTAGCCCCTTTCATTGGCCTCTCCCAGTGGAACCTGGGAGCCAGCCTTCCATCCGTCAGCAGTTCGACATCCATGTGGTTCAGTTCCCACAGTAACATGTCCACTTGCTCATCACTTGACAGAGATCTCACCTCCAGAGCACCAACAGGCGATCATTATCAGCATTCTAAAACTGTGTATTCCTCAGCAACCTCTGTCCACTTTCTGCCATCATGGTACCACAACTACAAAAGCAGAAGGGGGTGCTACGTGGCAATGGGGGCCATTTTGTATTTTTATCTCTTTCATGGGTCTCTGCAGCCAAAGGATTCATCAGCTGGTGGCTGAGATGCTGGAGATAAGCCTCTCTAAGCTAAGCTACTCAGTCAGTGAATAGCATTGATTAAGTAACTAAGTACCAGGCATTATGCTAAGCTGGGTGGGTGATGAGATAGCAGGTATAATCTGTCACCCAGGCAGTACCTGAAGCCAGGGAATCTTGGTATCCACAATGCCCAAGCTTGGCTCAGCTGGCAAAGCCAGGGTCACCTTGGAGCCCTGATGAAGCATTGATGGGAGTGGATGGAACACTGATGGGAGCGGATGGCTTTACCTTCCCACTGCTCTTCAGGGCGGTCTCCATTAACCCGAATGTTGGATTCATCAGAACGTTCCACTCCCTAGGTTTCGCTCTGGTTTCCGACTTGCCTTTCGCTGCTGCCCCTGGGTCACCCCGCCTGATGAAGACAAGCTAGAACTCTTCCAGAGCCAGTCACTGTTGATGACCATTCACAAAAACCATACCAAAATGTCCCTTTCTGTCAGAAAAGCGTCTTTCCCAGAAACCCCCAAGGAGTAGGAGGGAGACCTTGGGTACCAGCTTCCTAGTGACCTCTGATGGCCATCCCTTCCTCTGCTTTGCTGGAGTCACGAATGGAATCCCTTCTCCCTTAGTCCACCCCCAACTCCTCCCTTGGAAACAGCAATACCCAGTTTGGAAAGTCATTAACTGTCTAGTGAGAAGCAAAAAACAGGCTATGGTCCTGGGCAGACAGATAATTTTCTGTAAGGGAGCTTCCTAGTTCAAGCCTGGGAATTCTATTAAATTGGGTTTGTGCTAAAAAGCAACACAAAACAAAGCAGAGTCACCAAAACCAGACCAGAGAACATCAACTGATATTTATAGATCACTTTAATTTTTAAAGCACCCACAGTAACAGCAAGATTGTAAGGTGACTAACTGTGAATGACTTAGCTATTCTCAGCAATACAATGATCCAAGACAATGCCGAAGGACTTATGATAAAAAAACGCCATCCACCTCCAGACAAAGAACTGTCTGAATGCAGATTGAAGCATGCTTTTTAAACTTTATTTTTCTTGGGTTTTTTTTTTTTTGGTCTGTGTTTTCTGTTACAATATGACTGATATGGAAATATGTTCTGCATGACTACACATGTATAACCTATATCAAATTGCTTGCCTTCTCACTGAGAGGGCGGGGAGAGAGGGAGAGAATTTGGAACTCAAAATTTTAAAAAGGCACGTTGAAAATTGTTTTTACATGTAATTGGGAAAAATAAAACACTAAATAATTTTTTAAAAATAAAATAAGTGCTCACCTTACTAACACCTCAAAGATAGGTAAGATCTGTATAAAAGAGGATCCGTACTTCTGTGAGTGAGCCATCAGCTAGCTCAACCCCAGAAAACAGCTTAATACCCTTCCCAGGGGTAGTTGTATCTTTATTAGACAGCTCTGTAGCAACTTATTCTGTTAAAATGGCCCTGAGCCACATAGGTCTCCACTTCTGGTTAAAATACTCAAAGTGGGATGTAGTGAAAAATGTGCTTATCAGAATATGAGTTGAAACTTCTCTCTCACATCAGCTGTGTGACTTGGGGTAAGTCACTTCACTTGTTTGGGACTCAGTCTTGTCCTCTGTAAAACGGGAGTAAGATGCTTCAAAGACGAGGAACCTCCCTAAACCATAAAGTCAGTGATGGCCTCTCCCCTGGAGATAATCAAGGACTTCCTCCTCTCTTCTGATTGTCACAGTAACTTTGTATGCTAAATAAGGTGTGTCTCATTGTGCTCACTTCACAACTGAGGAAACTGAGGCCCGGTGGCTTGAATTGGGGCACTGCCATTTATTTGCTGTGTGACTTTGGCTGAGTTACTTCACCTCTCTGGGCCCATTTCCCCAACTGTACAATGAGGAAGTTGAACTGGATGATATATAAGGTTTCTTCCAGTTCTAAATCCTATGAAGTCTCTGCTCAGATGGAAAGAGAAATGACACGGCCCTGCCCTCAAGAGATTACAATCGAGTAAGGGTAAAAATAACTGCACGCCATCCATGGGGAGTAGTTTTGGTTTATTAATGTGATGGAATCCTAATCGTGCTATGCGAAATGACGAAAGGGATGGTTTCAGAAAAACCTGGAAAGACCTATATGAACTGATGCGAAGTGAAGTGAGCAGAACCAGGACAACTGCTACAGTAACTGTGACAGTGCACGGATGATCAGGGAATGAATTAGCAACGGTGACCCACACCGTGACCTACCCCAACTCCAGAGTCTCGGGATGAGGCCTGCTGGCCACCTCCAGATGAGGGCTGATGGACTCCGGGAAGATTGAGGCATTGCGGTTTTGGACTGAACCAATCTGGAAATGTGTTTGCTTGGCATCTGTGTTTGTAATGGGGGAATGGGGGGCTTTCTTTCTTGCTCTGTCAGGTGGAGGAGGGAGAAGGGAAGGAGGAGAAATGAATCTTCAAAAAATTTAATTAAAATGTATAACTATAGGGTATGAAAAGTACATGACAAAATTATTTTGCTTGATTATGCAATTAATTACTAGAGGTCTGGTTTTCTTTCTTTTGCACTTGGGGAGATGGGAGGGAAAGAAGACAGATTTTGATTCATTTTTCAAAAATTTAACTCATAAAAAGTTTGTGATACAAGTGTAATGAGATGATAGGGTCACGAAGTTGGAGCTGGAAGGGACCTTTGAGATAGTGCCCCACCCAGGCCACGGAGCAAGTTAGCTTTGGACTTGAACAAGGTCTCCTAGGACCCCAGGTCAGGGCTCTTTCTGCTTTTTCACACCATGTTCCCAGAGAAACTGGGAGGCAGGGAGAGCTCTCTGAGGATTCTCTGGATCTGACCACAAATCAGTATTCCCAGTGATCTTGATCTCTTAGTCATTTTAATTTTCTTTGGACCAAACCTGTAATTTCACTGGTGTAGGGCAGGGCTGTCAAATATGCCTGCATGTAACTCGCAAGGCTCCCAAGTGTGGCTTGACCCAGATTAAACTATAATTGAGCAATATTTCACAAAATAAATACATAGTAGAAGATAGATAATGTTAATAGGTAGTTTTCCAAGTCAATGTGGCCAGCAGGGATCCTACTGTATCAGCGGCCCCTAGCTTCTGTGTGGCTTAGGGAACCCATGGGGAGGGGACTTAGCTTAGTCTTCGAGAGCCCAGAGAGGTTCAGTGGCTTGCCTCGACTCACACAGCAACACACCTCAGAGGCAGGACTTGAACCTAGGGCTCCTTGTCCCTGAAGCCAGCTTTCTTTTCACTGGGCCATGCTGTGCTGTGCTGGCTCCCTTCCCTGGGATGTGGGGAAGACAGCATAGGCAGCGAACTTAACTGTTTAAAAGGTACATCTGAGAAGCCCGCGGCTGCAGATACTCAAGTCGATTTTTTGTAAAGGATGTAAGGAGATTCTCACATGCTGTTAGTCATGTGAATGAGGAGATATTGATAAATTGCTTAGCTCAGTGCCAAGCACGTAGTAGGTGCTATATACAGTAAATGCTTCTTTCTTTCCCCTTCCCCCTTCTTTCTAGGCCCTGGGTATAGCTATTTGCTGCCAAGAAAATCCCATGACATTCTACTGTCAGTCATGCTTACCTATGTGACCTTGGTGGACATCCCTTAATCTCTAAAGGTCTCAGTTTTCTCGTCTGTAAAATGGGAGATGTGTGGCTTAAATTGCCTCTAACATTTACCTCCTGCCTCCAGACCCAGGGTCCTATCTGTAGAGAAGCCAATCCCAGAGGGATTTAAAGAAAAACTACTAAACCATCACGGCTGTTCAGAAGTAGAATGGTCTGTACACAAGGGCACAGATGTTCACTCTGGGGAGGTCAAGGGCAGGTCGGATGAGACTAGTGGTGGGGAGCAGGCTGCCAAGGGGACTTCCTGGATGAGATGGCTTCTGAGGTCTCTTCAAAGCTCTAAGTTTCTGGGAATCCTCCAGACCCGGTACGAAGGGCACTGCAGAATGGTCCCAAGGGGGCCAACAAATGTTGTACCTAGTGAACTTGTAGGGGCCCACTAGAATCTGGTGCTTTGAAGGGCTCAGGGCTGGTCCATGAGAGGAAGCTGTGACATGGTGCATGGAGGGCTGGCCTGAGTCAGGAAGACCTAAGTTCAAATCAAGCTTCAGACACTTCTTAACTGTGTAACCCTGGGCAAGTCATACAACTTCTCCTAGCCTCAGTTTCCCTGTCTGTAAAATGGGAATAATAGGACCTACCTCCTAGAGTTATGAGTGGAACTACAGAGTAAACAGGACTTTCTTTCCAGAAATAATGGTCATGTTGACTGGATTATAGCGGCCAAAGCTGGAAACGAAAAGCAGGGGATCAAGAGGGGGTCCGTGAGTGGTGTCAAGGCGGTTCTATGGGATGGGACACGTAGTCTGCTATGGCACTGGCCAAGTGTAGTTAACCATCCTTAGCTTGCCCTCACACATCTCCACTCAAGACGGCTCGTATGATAAGGGCTGAGACCCAAATTCAAATTCTGTCCTCAGCACACTTCAAACGTGACCTTGAGCAGATCACTTCACCTGGGCTTCAGTGTTCTCTCTTGTAAGATGGGATCTGATGGATCCCTCCAACTCTAAATCTATGTGCTTATGAATACATACCTAGGGAAGGCAGACATGGATTCTGGACCTCTGCTGGGAGAATCAGGGGAGCGGACATAAGGGTTTGCTGCTCAAGCCACTGTTACTCACCAAACTGTCAATGAATAAGCCAAGAACAGGAAGGGGCCTTGTTTAGCGACCCACACATGTCCTGCATTGACTCAGGGGGTCCCCTCTAGAAAGAGCCTCAGAAGACAACCAGACCCAGAGGCCTGCCCGCCCATTGTACACAGGTGAGGGCTGGCTCACGGGCTCCATGACCTTCAGCCCGCACGGATGAGACCATAACTGGGTTCCCCACAAGACCATAACAGCTATCCCCAGTTTCCAAGCAACACCAGGACTGGATGAGTTCAACGAAAAAAATCTCTTCTCCTTCTGAGATACCACTCCTTCATCGCCAAGATTTTCCAGAAAGAATGATTCCACACCATTGAGCCAACAGCAAAAAATTTTAATGATGTTTTCCTGTTTTCTCCACAAATATCACTGTGCCGCAAGCATGGTCACTGCCGATGCGACAAATGTAAGGACTTCCTCCCTGTCCTAACCAAGTGGGCATGCAGTCCCTGAAGGTGGACACACCGAAAACAGCAAAGCAGACAAACACGGCACCTCACAACATTCAGTCAATCACAGTGCGTCAGGACATGGGTGGACATGGCATCCATGGAGGAGGAGGGGAGGGAATTCAAGATGGCGGCTGGGGACAAGGAAGCCAGAGGCTGAGACTGTCTTGGGGGCAGAGTGGAGTCGGTGGGTGGGGCCAGGTGAATTCCTCCCATGGGAGGGAGTAATTCATGAATAGGAAGAGGTAAAAATATAGCCTGCCAACTTCACCTGGCCCTGGCAGGGCGCACGCCGGTTCAAAGGATTGTTGGTGTCTAGATAGGAGCAACTGGGCAGGAGAGAATCTACTTAGCTTGGGCCAAAGAGAGAGAAGGGCCTTGGTTTGGAAATGGCAGGTGGAAGAGCGGTTATCCCTGTCTCCTCATGAAATTCAAACCAGGCCCTCCCATCTTCAATTCTATGGCCCAGTGTAAAGAACAGTGGCTCTGGGTTCAAATCCTGCTTCTGCCTCTGAGATGGGTGACCTAGGGCAAGTCACTGTCACTTCTGAGTCCCTTCTGGTTTCACATCTATCATCCTCGGATTCCCCCGGACCCCAGCTAGGGGAGGTGAGGAGGCCAGTGAGAGTGACTCTTCATCTCGTTCCCTAGCATCTGGTTACCCCACCTCAGGGATGGGACGGTGGGACACTCTGGTTGGAGATTACTGGCAGGATGACTGCTGAGATACAGTA